TTTGGTTTCTTTAGATTATCAAAGTTATTCATTTGTATCAAGTCACTAAGTGTATACTTTGTTTTCTAAAAAAATTCTAATTATAAAAATCTTTTGACAGGTATTTGCCTTGTCACCCAGGCTGGAGTGCAGTGGTATAACTGCACACTGAGTTACCTCCAACTCCTGGGCTCAAGTGATCCTCCTACCTCAGCCTATGTAGTAGCTGAGACCACAGGCATGCACCAATACACCACCTACTTAAAAAAATTTATTTTGTAGATATGTGGGTGTGACTATGTTACAGAGACTGGTCTTGAACTCCTGGGCTCAATCAGATACTCCCACCTTGGACTCCCAAAGTGTTGAGATTACAGGTGTGAGCCACTGTATCCAGCTGATGAAACTTAAGAAGAGCAAAATACTTTGGGACCTAACAATGTAAATTTCCACTGAGATGATGTATGAAATTAAGGTAGAATAAAATGATCCTAGGGCATCTGGAACAACGGAACTAACCTTGGGCCAGCCGTGGTGGCTCATGCCTGTAATCCTAGCACTTTGGGAGGCCAAGGTGGGGGACTCACTTGAGATCAGAAGTTGGAGACCAGCCTAGCCAACATGGTGAAACACTGTCTCTACTACAAATACAAAATTAGCCTGGAGGTTGCAGTGAGCCGAGATCGTACAATGCACTGGGTCTGGGCAACAGAGGGAGACTCGGTCTCAAAAAAGAAAAAAAGAAGAAGAAACAAACTCTTAATTTCTTCATCAAGTGTAAAACTGTGTGGACTGAATCCCCTGAGGAATAATACATTAAAAGACACACAAGCACTATATACTTTTTTGAAGTTTTATTGAGAAATATTAATAACATACCACAGAAATACCATCAAAGTAAAAATTCAGCAGTTTTAGTATATTGTACTTGCAGCAAACATCACATAATAAATTTTGTAGATCATTTTCATGACCCTGAAGTAATCCCTGTAACCCTCCATTTCCAACTCCCCAACCCTGGGCCACCACTAATCTACTTCTTCTGTCTCTACGCATTGATGTATTTTTTGACATTTTATTTAAATGGAATTACATAACATGTGGTATTTTGTGACTGGCTTCTTCCACTTAGCATAATATTTTCAAGGTTTATTTAGACCCTGCATGTGCAGAGGGGTACTTGTATAAGTATAAACCTGGGGGGTGCTCACTGATTGATTTTGAAACTTCCCTTCAAAATTGTATTTTTTCTTTTTTTTTTTTTTTTTTTTGAGACAGAGTCTCGCTCTGTTGCCAGGCTGGAGTGCCATGGCATGATCTCAGCTCACTGCAACCTCCACCTCCTGGGTTCAAAGGATTCTCCTGCCTCAGCCTCCCGAGTAGGTGGGATTACAATCATGTGCCACCACACCTGGCTACTTTGGTATTTTTAGAAGAAACAGGGTTTCTCCATGTTGGTCAGACTGGTCCTGACCACCACCATGCCCATCTAATTTTTTTTTTGAAGATAGGGTCTCACTCTTGTCACCTAGACTGGAGTGCAGGGGCAATAATCTCAGTCACTGCAGCCTTCGACCTTCAGGGCTCAAATGATCCTCCCACCTCAGCCTCCCAAGTAGTGGAGTCTTATTGGACAGCACAGCTCTGGAGGGTGATTTTATGTATATCCCCACTGCTTTCTCTGCCTCGATTCCTATCTACCCCACACCCCTGCAAAAAGTGTTTTTTGTTTTTTTGTTTGTTTGTTTTTTTGAAAATGGTCTCACTTGTCACTCCAGACTGCAGTACAGTGGTGCGATCTCGGCTCAGTATAACCTCTGCCTTCCAGGTTCAAGTGATTCTCCTGCCTCAGCTTCCCAAGTAGCTGAGATTACAGATGTGCACCACCAAGTCTGGCTAATTTTTGTCTTTTTAGTAGAGATGGAGTTTTGCCATTTTGGCAAGGCTGGTCTCGAACTCCTGACCTCAAGTGATCTGCCCGCCTCAGCCTCCCAAAGAAAGGCTTCCTTCCCTTTCTCCCTTCCCCCTCCCTCCTCTTATATGTGGTGAGTCTTTTGCCCTTCCACCTTCCACTGTGCCCAACCTAGAAAGCTTATTTTATTTTATTTAATATTATTATTATTTTTCTTGAGATGGAGTCTTGCTCTGTCACCCAGAGTGGAGTACAATAGCATGTTTCAGCTCCCTACAACCTCCACTTCCCAGGTTCAAGCAGTTCTCCCTGCCTCAGCCTCTTGAGTAGTTGGGATTACAGGTGCCCACCATCATGCCCAGCTAATTTTTATATTTTTAGTAGAGACAGGGTTTCACCATGTTGGCCAGGCTGGTCCTGAACTCCTGACCTCAGGTGATCTCCCCACCTCGGCTTCCCAGAGTGCTGGGATTACAGTATGAGCCACCGCTCCCGGCCAGAAAGCTTATTTTGAAAGATGTCTATATAGCCCCTTATGTTTCTGCCTGATTTTTAAAATAACATATTTAGGCGTATATATTTTAGGATATAAGATCTCACTGTATATGTTGCTTTGCATCATTGAACAGTTTTGGTAATTATTTTTACTTTATATATATTTTAGAATTTTCATTAAACTAATACAGAATTTCATATTCAGGGACGGACGCAGAGGCTCATGCTTGTAAGCCAGCACTTTGGGAAGCCGAGATGGACGGATCACCTGAGGTCAGGGGTTCGAGACCAGCCTGGCCAACATGGCAACACCCCGTCTCTACTAAAAATACAAAATTAGCCAGGTGTGGTGGTGCATGCCTGTAATCACAGCTACTTGAGACGCTGAGACAGGAGAATCGATTGAACCTGCGAGGCGGAGTTTGCGGTGAGCCAATATCACGCCATTGTACTCCAGTCTGGGCAACAATAGGGAAACTCCATCTCAAAAAAAAAATATATATATACAAAAATTAGCTGGGCGTGTTGGCGGGTGCTGATAATCCCAGCTACTCGGTAGGCTGAGGCAGGAGAATTGCTTGAACCCAGAGGGCAGAGGTTGCAGTGAGCCAACATCTCATGACTTCACTCCAGCCTGGGCCACAGAGCAAAACTCCTTCTCAAAAAAAAAAAAAAAAAAAAGAAAAAAATTCAAATTCATATTCACTCAAATCAAAAATGAAAATTTATTTTTGCAAATTTCTATTTGAGTGATAGAATTATTTTAATTTAGGAATAGTTCATAAAAAATGGGTGTAGTGATTATGTTCTTTCCTGTGCTTGAATGGAAAATGATGAGGGATCATGATGTTAGAGTTGCAGTGAGAAGGGGTGAAAAAGAGGGATTCCAGAGTGCCAGGCACGCAGGTTTTCTGGAAGGCTTGCACGAAGACTGCTGCTGTTTGAAGGTGTTCCCCGAAGTTCATGTGCTGGAAACTCAACCCGTAATGCAATAGTGCTGCCCAGTGGAACCATGAAGAGGCAATTAGATCATAAAGGCTCTGCCCTCAGGAATGGATGAAGGCAGAGGGGGTTAGTTGTCTTGGGAGTGGGTTCCTGATAAAAGAATGAGGATGGCTTCCTTCCCTTTCTCCCTTTCCCCCTCCCTCCTCTCACATGTGGTCACTCTCTTGCCCTTCCACCTTCCACCATAGGACAGCACAGCAAGACCTTCACCAGATGCAGGCCCCTCACTTTTCCAGTGTCCAGAACCATAAATCAAGAGAACTCTTGCTTATAAATCACCCAGTCTGTGATATTCTGTTATAGCAACACAAACAGACTGAGACAGGGACACTCAGTGGGCTCATGTCTCTACTTGATGGAGCACTCCCTGCGTGGTATCTTGTATTTGTAGACATGATGCTATAAATGCTCTTTGAGTGCCTTGAAGGCTTTTATGATTGAGGAGTTTACAGAAAAGCCCCTACAGGCTTCAGGTCCCTTCCTCTGTTGTTTCTTTGCTCTTTAGTACCTTCCCAAACCTAGTATTAAATTAGATCATAGTAAAGTCCTTGAACCAACAGTATTAGCAGTACCTGAAAAACATGCTGGAAATACAGACTCACAGGCTGCACCACAAAACACTGAACCAGAAACTCTAGGAATGAGACCCAACAATCTGTATTTAACAAGTCCCCCAGGTGAGTCTGATGCACACAGAACTGTGAGATGCTGTATGAGATGATGTTCAGTTCATGCTAACGGAATCACTAACACACACGTCTGCTCACTGCTTGGTCTTTGCACAGGCACCTGGATCCTCCTGGAATACCTTTCTTAGTGTCTTGGTGTTGGTTAACTTCTGTGGAGTTTGATACTGCTCATTTTGCTGCTTGTTCTGTTTTTCCAGAGTCCCCTTATCACTTGACCTGCTGCCACATTATGTTTGATTACAGATACCCCATCAGCCTGGGTCTCTCTTTACAGCCTTTGTACACATATGTCTACACATAGGGATTCGGATTATCTCAGGATCCCACATCCTCACTGTTCCCCATCCCCCCTACCCCACCATCCCCAACCAGTACCTTTCTGAAGTTTTCTAGTCCTTCCTTTTCGTTTGTGCTCCTTAAAGCCCAGCCCCATGCCTGACTTTGGTTCCCACTGAGTTCTGTTACAAGGATTCCACATTTGTGGTTATTAAATCTTTGGCAAGGTCATTTACCTGGGCTGGAATAAGACTCTTGGCTGATCCTCCTTCCTAAACACCCACCCAATGGGAGAGGCTGATACTCAACATGCAAACCTTGTTTTTTAATTCTCCAGGCAAAGTGATGTTGGAAGACATTGTGGCAGGGGTGGTGTGTGAAGATTTACAAATAATTTTTGAATATCTGCTTCATGATAGGTCTCAGAGGTGCCTTGTGGGTGTGGTTTTGGAGGATGATTATGAGGAAATTGTGGATATTAGGGAAGTCAGGAAAGGAAAATATCACTCACAATTCAACAATTCAGGAAAGCTCCTAAGGGAATTTCTGGCTGCTTGATGTCCAGAGGCCAGGTTCTCACTTTGTATCAAGGCTCAGGACTATGGATAGAGAATTTATGGGGCACCAAAAAAACTCAGTAATCAAGATAAACAAAATTTTAATGTAATATCTTTAAAAATACAATTTGATGCATAAAGAAAACACCCATGTTGAACAAAACAGTTACAATGTTGCCTCCTCTTCAGCACCACCCCACCCTCCAGAAGTTTCCTCCAAGCCGCACCTGTAAGATAAAAAAAAAAAGACAAAATAAAAACCTGTAAGAGAAAAGATAAAAATGAGATCGGCCTGGGGGCTCATGCCTGTAATCCCAGCACATTGGGAGGCCGGGGCAGGTGGATCACTTCAGGTCGAGTATTCAAGACCAAGCTGGGCAGCATGGCAAAACGCCATTGCTACTAAAAATATATATTAAAAAAGTAGCTGGGCATGGTGGCAGGCACCTGTAATCCCAGCCACTTGGGAGGCTGAGGCAGGAGAATCTCTTGAACCTGGGAGGCAGAGGTTGCAATAAGCCAAGATCACACCATTGCACTCCAGTCTGGGTGACAGAGCGAGACTCTGTTAAAAAAAAAAAAAAAAAAAAAAAGATCCTCAGGAATTTCTGGCTCAAGTCTCCCATCCTCACCACCACTACCACCAGGTGGTCTTTTGCTGTTCACCCAGGTCCAGGCTCCATCCCCTAAAATGCCGGGGAAATGCTACAAGACTCTCCCCATCTCCATTCCGGGAGTTTGCTGCAAGCCAATCTTGCTCTTCCTGAAAACAGCCTTGGGGTTCCCTGTCCTGGTACACCCTCCTACTGTAGGCAACACAGGGCCAGTGTCACCTGCAAACCAGGAGTCATGGCAAAGAATCGCCTCTCCCTGAGTTGCTTCTGTCCCAATCTGGCATCTGCTCAGGGAAGGGCACACCAGGGAGGAGTCTTGCGTGGTGAGCTCAGGTCACCTTCAGGGGAAGGTCAGTGCATACCAGCCAACCCGGACCACATTTTCCAGAATCCTTCAGCAGTATCGTGATGCTCTTGTGGTCAGCAGACCTCATTGGCTCCCAGCGAAACTTGTCAATGTCACTTGGGCATCTTAACAGTAGGCTCCTAAACTTGGTTGTGTGTGCTGTGCAGATATCAGAGGCACCCTGTGTGGGCAAAACCAACTGCTTTCCCGCCTCTCTAGCTCCAAAACTACAATCCCCAGAGGCCTCTGCGGTCACTTCTACTACCCATCATACACACCTTCCGTGTCACATTAACATCAGCAGCACTTCTGGTCTGTGGTCCCGGCTAGTTAGGCTGGTTGGCACCCAGTAAGGCCTCCCTCCAGGTCTTCCCCACACCTCTGCACCTCATTACCTGACCGGTTTCAGGATCTGCAGGGTGCATCCGTGTTCCATGGGTGCCCTATAGGCAGTCAGCATGCCCCTCTGCGTGTCCCTGTGTTTCTCACGGGGATGAAGGCTGGGAGCTGTAGAGCTGTCTCAGAACTCAGGTGCTCTCCTGTGGGCACCTGCAGGCCATTTTCCTTTCACTGGAGCCTACAGGGTTAGAGACAAACCCTCACTCTGTGGCTTGGGGACAAGGGCTTCACTCCCTGGCCTGAGTTTGGAGCAAAGCTTGAGGGTGCTGGGTCAGTCTGGGCCCCCCGCCCCCCGATGGGAATTGGCTGCCCTAGTGATTCCTGTGACATCCCCGGCCCCAACTGTGGGGCTCTGGAGTGGACTGTGCTTCACCTTGTGGCTGGGGGTTTCCAACTGAGAGTCGAAAAAGAGGTGAGAATTACCTGTAATTCCATCTTGGCTGTCAACAGGATGGATCCCCTTACCTTTTCTTGCCCTGGAGGCTGCCTGGTTGGTACTGGGGAAAGTTCATTCCTAGTCCTGGAAGAGTAACTCATTCTAACCAGAGTCCTCCCTCAGCATTCCCTTCTGCTCCATCCATACCGCAGTCATTCATGAAGTCATTAATTGTAAACACATATGGAATGGTTTAAATAGAAGTACAGAGATGTGTGCACTTAATTGTTCAGTGATGTGGATGAAGGGCAGGGACATCAGAGATGCCTGTGACTTCAAGGGGTTGGGGAGGACTCCCAGAAGTAGGGTTGTCTCAGCTATCCCTGACCGGTTTGATACCTTGGAGATTAGGGGGAAGGCATTCCAGTGGGAGGCGGGAAGGAAGGAAGCACAGTCTCAGAGGCTGGGCTCTTGCTACCATGTGGAAGGATTATGGTGGCCAAGGGCCTTCTTAAGGTTGATTTTTAAATATACATAGGTGAAGATACAGACTAGCTATTCACACATAGAACAAGGAGAAGCTTGATATAGGCTAACTTGAATTTTACATTTGAGAGCATTTTCAGCTTCTGGAAATTGGGACATTTTACCCAAAATTCCAGATTCCCTGCTTCTCTGAAAATAAATCTGCCCTAACTCTTCACTATTCCCTTTTTTTTTTTTTTTTTTTTTTGTGATGTGTTGATTTTCACTCTTGTTGCCCAGGCTAAGGGGCGGCAATGGCATGATCTCCACCACCACAACCTCTGCCACGCCTGGGTTCGTTGCACCAAGCCTCCCTTGGGATTACAGGCTGCCATCACGCCCGGCTAATTTTCTTGTTAGTAGAGGCGGAGTTTCCACCATGGTGGTCGGGAGTTGATCTTGGGGACTTCCCGGGTGATCCACTTTTTTTTTTTTTTTGAGACAGATTTTCACTCTTGTTGCCCAGGCTGAGGTGCAGTGGCATGATCTCCACCCACCACAACCTCTGCCACCTGGGTTCAAGCAATTCTCCTGCCTCAGCCTCCTGAGTAGCTGGGATTTACAGGCATGTGCCAACACGCCCGGCTAATTTTCTTGTACTTTTTTTTTAGTAGAGACGGAGTTTCACCATGTTGGTCAGGCGGGTCTTGAACTCCTGACCTCAGGTGATCCACCTGCCTTGGTCTCCCAACGTGCTGGGATTATAGGTGTGAGTCACCTCACTTGGCCAGTCTGCACTATTCCTTAGTGTCAGACAATTTGATACAAACAATGTCTTTCTCATTCAGACGTGATCTTCAGGATTTACTTTTTGTATTTTTAGTATAGACAAGGTTTCTTTTTTTTTTTTTCCAGGTAAATTTTCACTCTTGTCACCCAGGCTGGAGTGCAGTGGCATGATCTCAGCTCGCTGCAACCTCCGCCTCCTGGGTTCAAGCAATTCTCCTTCCTTAGCCTCCTGAGTAGCTGGGATTACAGGCCCCTGCCACCGCACCCAGCTAATTTTTTGTAGTTTTAGTAGACATGGGTTTCTCCAGGTTGGGCAGACTGGTCTCATCTTGAACTCCTGACCTTCAGTGATCTGCCTGCCGCAGCCTCCCAAAGTGTGGGAGTACAGGCATGAACCAATGCCTGGCCTCCACTGGCTAATTCTTTGTATGTTTGAAGAGATGGGGTTCCACCATGTTGGCCAGGATGGTCTTGATCTCCTGACCTTGTGATCTGCTGGCCTCAGCCTCCCAAAGAGTTGGGATTAGAGGTGTGAGCCACTGCACCCGGCCTCAATGTAGCTTTTTATCAAAGTATTTATGTAGGAAAAATTAATCAAAGGGCACAAGCATTTCAATACTTAGGTTGTTTAAGATGAAATCTGTGACTGGAAGAGTCCCAGACACATAAAAATGTTTCGCACATGAAGAAACCACAACTTAAATAAACAAATTTGAAGGAAGTAAGTAACAAATGATTTTCTGTTGTTTGTTTTGTTATGTTATTTTGGAAATGTGATTAACCATTATGTCAAGGGAGTTGGGAAGAATTTCCAGATACTCTGATATGCATGACATCTTAATCATACCAAATAAAGCAAGGCTATCTTAGGAAATTAGGTATCACTGCCAAGGACCTTTACATGAGATAAATTAAAATTACTATTAAATTTGTAACAATCAGACGGACTGGCAGGCAAGTTGTGTCATTTTTTTCTCAGCATTTTTCCTTTCCTTGACTCAATAAAGCAAAGTTAAATGCCAGCTATTTGCAGAACACTCACGAGACTGTGTTTAATGATATGTGAAACACAGCCTGCACACTCACAGATCCTTGCCATGGTCCTGTTCCCTTCTTTTCAAAACCTGTGTTACCTTGTGGCTAGATTTCTCAATGAGATGAAAGAGAGAGAGGAATGAGAACCATCTTCTTTGAGGTCGCTCTGCACCGCTCCTGCAGGTAGACAATGACTTCTCAGGTGAGACTATTACCCTTGGCTGGGGGGTAGAGGTCTTAATCCTAGAAAAGAGGCCTCTCAGGGTGGAGAGGTGATTTAAATCCTTACCAGATAGACACAGCTCCCCACCTCGTCCAGACTTTCACAAACCCAAACTGGAACAGCGGAAAAACGACTGACAACCGGCCACATGCCCCAGGCAGAGACGCAGGGAGAGGCTGACCAGAAGAAAGGTCGACGTAGAAGATACCACCCTCCGGCGCACAGGGCACATGTGTCCCAACACACACACACACACACACACACACACACACGGACACAGAGTGAAAGAGAGAGAAAGGAGAGAGAAATAAGAGACATAGGCACACACACAAAAGCACAAAAACATATGGCAGTGGCACGATAACACCCACTCCCAGGCAGCCCCTGAAGCTGCCGGGTTCTGCTCTCTGTGACTATGACCCGTGGGTAAGAGAGCAGCCCACAGGCACACAAGCAAACCTCTCCTCTTTTGAAGAGACTCACTGGCACACCATCAGTCGGTGCAGGTCTGAGCCTGGGATCCCACATGCTTCCCCGGCCCTCTGCCCTTGGTTTCTTCCTCCTGGACGACCCTCCGTGAATCCTGGCCTCCAAGACCATCCCGTCTATGCCCCTGGTGAGAGCTGGTCTTAGCCCTGACTCTGACTAATCCCTCTAATCCCAGGTACTCGGGAGGCGGAGGGAAGAGAATCACTTGAATCCGGGCGGAAGACTTTGCAGTGAGCTGAGATCTCGCCACTGCACTCCAGACTGGGTGACAGTGAGACACTGACTACATAAAAAAAAATACGGTGGAGCGGGGGCTGTCGGGTCTGAGGCGGTGGCAGGTGAAGTGAAGATTGGGAAAGAGGCCTCCTTGACGCTCCATGAATCCTGGCCTGAGGCTGGGATCTCGCGCTGCCTCCCCGGAGATCAGCCTGAGGTTTCTTCCTCCTGAGGTTTCTTCCTGCTGGTCGGTTCTCCGTGAATCCCGGCCTCTGGAGACCATCCGGTTAACGCCCTGGCCAGGACTGCTCTCAGCCCCGACTGTGACTCACTATCACACATGGCTTCTACTTCACCAAGTCTCAGGGACCCATCCCCAGGAAATGGTGTCAATCGCTGTGACCAAAATGGCAGCTCAGGCCTCGCGCATGAGCAATGGCGAGGCTGACTCCCTCTTTGATCCGGAGAGTCAGGTTGGGGACCCCTTAAAAAATGGTGGTGACACGACGGCTGCGGGGACTGGGGCGGCGGCGGTAGCAGCGGAGCAGTCCGAGGCGGTGGGTGGGAAGAGGACTAGGAGAGGGGCCTGCGCGAGAGCCAGGGTCAGACCCATAGGAGTCCTATCATCAGGACCTTCTTGATTGGTTTTCTGCTTTGGTTCCATGTAGAGGAGGAGCTTCGGGGTGCCCGCTGGGCTCTCTGGACACCTCTTCGAATCCAATAATGGATCCGACTGGGTGATCAGGAATGGGGTTACAATGTAGTAAGGTGGGAAGGGCCTCGCTGGGGCACAGAAAGATCCCAAGAGCTGCATGACCTGCTGTTGGCTGAATAAACTGGCCCATGAGCCCGTTGCCTCCCTCCTTCCTGAGTAGAGCAGGGGTTTACCTTCATCTCCAAGGCCCGGGGACTCCAAAATCCTGACACAGCTTTCTGCAATACATCCAACAAGAGACAAAGGCGAGGCCAAGATAGAGCCAATGTGACCACACATGGCACTGACGTCGCCCAAGAGCAGATGGAGTGAGTGTGTGTCTCTGAGGTCATATGGGACGATTCTGAGACAGATAGTGAGGTCCAGGCGTGTGCCCGGGGGCCACTGGGCTCTCCCACACAAAGTTGAGGAACAGCCAAGCACACCGGAAAACCTGTGAGACAGGACCTGTGCTCAAGTCCAAGCCACATGCAGAGATGCCTGCCAGAGGGGCCGAGACATTTTGAAAAAGTGCACCCCACTGACAGCCCACCACCAGATGGTTTCCCTGACACCAACTCCCCTGACAACCAGCAAAACCCAATCCCTTGGGAGACTTGAAATCCGTGGCAGTCAAAAGATTCAGTGCTTGAAGGGATTTTCCCCAGGAGCAGCTGAACCGAAGGGATTTCAGAAATAAGAGAAAAATTGCAGGCGGGATGCAACACTGCCTTTTCTGGCAGGCAAAGGTCAGCCACGGAGGGGTCGCACCACGCTCGTCTTGGACAGACCACGCAGGAATCACTTGAGACATAAAGATCAATGGAAGTCCCCGCTCCCAGATAGGTATGAGGTCCAGAGCTCCAGGGTAATGAAACCTGTCCAACCAATGAGAAATACCACAGGAGACGAAAGCAATAAAGATCCGGACCCCTAGGAAGTATCTCCTGAAGAATAAGAAAGTGTTCCATGTTGAAGACATTCAGTAAGACCG